GAGCGCCGGCGCGAGGACAGCGCGTGCCCGCGAGGAGCCGCCGCGCGCCCGCGCCCCCCGCGCGACGCCAGGTGAGGGGCGGTGGAGCAGCGGGGACCGGGCCGCGGCGGGGACGGAGACCGGGCCGCGGGGCTGGGGCTACCTGGCCGCTGAGTCACGGCCGCCCGGGGGCGCGGGCCGAGGGTGGCGGGGTTGGGTGCGCAGGGCCCAAGACCCCCATGCGGCCCCCTACGCAGCCCGCGCACCTGCCCAGGTGGGCCCAGCCCCGCAGGCCCAGGGGGCTTCCCCGGGACGCGAGGCACTCTGCCCTGCACGTGCCGCCCGGGCCATGCTTGCTAAGCCCGGGGCCCTGGGGCGTGGACCCCAGACCTGGGAACACGGGAGTCCACGCGAGTCGGCGGCGCGCATTGTGCCCGCGCCTTCACACCTGCGGGGGGCGGGGCGCCGCCACGTGGGAGGGCGCGGGCGCGTGGATTCCCCGTGCCTTCCGCCCCAGCGTGGCTTCCGCGTGCGGCCCCGGCCTGCCCCCCTCGCTTCCTCCCGGTGACGGGCGGCGCTGCGGCCCAATGGTGGGGCCCACGCGTGCCCGTGGACGGGGTGGGGGTAACCGAGTCTCCCCACAGGCAGGATCCTGGGACTGGTGTTGCTCTCAGCCGCCCACCTGCCAGGGTTGCTGGAAGGAAGGCCGTGGGGAGGCAGGAAGGGAGCAGGTGACAGGGGCCCCGAGGCGCATGTCCCTTTGCTCACATGTGGGGCAGGGGCTCAGGCTTCTTCCCGCTCCCACTGCGTGGGTTCTTCTGTGCCTCTGTCAAGTTCAGGAAACTGTGTTATGTGCCCGTGACGCTGTGTGTGTGTGTGTGTGTGTGTGTGTGTGTGTCTCTGTCTCTGCACAGCCTCAAGATCCTGGGGGGGGGTGGGTCGAGGCGCCGCGGAAAAACCTAGAAAGCCAGGACCCCGCCTGGCTTTGGCCCTTGACCTGGGTCCCCCTGGGGCACAGCAGTGGCCCTGTGCTGCATTCTCACCCTCACACCGTGTGTGTTCATGTTTGCGGGGCCTCCTGTGTCCCTCTCCCCGTGTCCTGCATCCCTGAGCATGCTGTTTCTTGCTTCTTAGGCGGCTCTTGTAGCTGAGGCAGAAATCAGATCCACCATTCATTCACCAGGTGACCCACAGGCAGCCAGCCACTCTCTGGCCAGGTGTCTGGCCTTGGGAAGATCCTGGGACTCAAAACGCCCCCCACCGCGGGACACCGTGGACTAGGGGATATCACTGTGGTTTGGCTCCAGCACTGCCCTTCCCACCCCTCTGATTCTCCAGGGTGGGCTGCCAGGTCTCTACTGGCACTGAGGTTTCACTATCACAGTGTGTTGTTGTAAGGGGGTCTCCAACATGGAGTGGGGATGCCCTGTGCAGCTTCTCCAAGCCCAGTGTCTTCAGGGATGTGGAGTATTGAAAGAGCTGTGGGCGGGGTCTGGAGAACATAGGTGGGCTGTGCAGGTGTCTGGGACACACCTACACCCTATTTGGGCATCTAGTGCCATTTAAGAGAACATCTCCCCTTCTTAGGTAACCCAGTAGGAATGTCTGAGTTTGACCTTGGGAGAGGGAGTCTGCTTTTTAAAACTAGACCTTTCATTATTCCAAAATAAGACATTTACTAAAGCAGAAAAACAAATCAGGTTTCTCCTGCCTTTTATCCTTGAGCTGAGCCAGGGCTTTGAGGGGCTGGTTCCCTGCAGCATTGATTCCCCAGGTGCTGGTAAACCCAGGAGCCAGCATTTACCAAGGGTTGGGGCTGTCGGGGCGCCAGCCTTTGTGTGCACCCGGGAGGCCGCTGTTAAGTGAGACCGTCTTCCGGGCCACTCTGCTGTCTACAAGGCGTGCGCTTTCACCCACGGGGCTCGGCAATGGCTGCGTTTGTTTACAGTCTCCAGCAAAGCTGTTTGCCACCCAGACCGAGAAGAAGTTGTGCCTGTTCCTGTCCCAGCTGTTTCTGAGTCTAAAGGTTTCTGGAGTGGACTTTCTGGGTTTCGGGTCCAGTCCACACGGGAAATGGAAATCTGGCCAGCTGGGAGAAGGCTCCGTGTGGCTGCCTCTCAACAGTAAACAGTGACTCACCGCTCCATCCCCACCCTCCCTGCTCTCCGCGAATGGAAGATACCTTTCCCCGCTATTTATTTTTGCTTTTTATAAGTCACAGACTCCGTCATGTTTCCGCTTTCCTACAGTTTCAGGAAACTGGGAGTGTCGTCTTAAAATCATAGAGTTTTAGAGCAGGTACAAATGAACCTGAGCGGTCACACGCCCCACCCCGACCGGCCGCTGTAGATGAGGAAACCCAGGCCGTGACGTCTGCTGGCCTGTCCCAAGGGCCGGTGGGGTCTGGTGTAGAACCTGCCTGCTTGTCCGCACTGCGCGTCGGGCGTCCTGGGGAAGGTATTGGGGTGGAGACTGCCCTCTCGCTGCCCTCCCGTGCGGGGCCGGCTCATCTCGTACAGCGGGAGGCTCGTATGGGGTGTAGGGAAGACATGCTCCCTGCTTGTGAGGAGCTCACCACACCACGGGGAGGGCCCCGTCCCCAGAAGGATCTAGAACCAGGCCTTGGTAGAGGGTGCTTGCCTACATGAGGAGAGCAGTGGGGAGCATTTCTGGAAGAAGCAGGGCTTGAGGGGGGCAGGGGGCCACGTGCTCTCTGCAGATGGGGGTGATCAGAAACCTGAAACGGCATTGGGGTGAGGGGGTCGGGGTTTGGGAGGAACCCCAAAACTTTTGACTGCCTGTGGGGCTGCGTGGGGGGCACCAGGATCAGGGTGAGGGCATCCCTTTGGCAAAACTGTGGTCCACACGGGAGAAGCTGGAGGCCGGAGCCTGGGCAGGTGCTGCGGGTTCGGGCGGGAGATGCTTGAGGGCTGGGATCAAGCCCGGTTGGAGCGTGGACGACGAAAAGAGACAGGGGTGGGGGCAACTCCGGTGAGTGATGCAGTTGGGGACTGGGGGGCATCTGGGCCCCCCGGAATGCCCCTGGTTGGACTTGGAAGCTGGGAGCGGATTGAAGCCCCAGGGTGGCCGGGGAGAACAGGACGCTGACGGGAAGCTGGAAGCTGAGGACAGGAGGATGGTGTGGTGGGAGCCAGGGCAGGGACTGGAGGGGGTGTGGTGTGTTCTGCAGTTTGCTCTCTGCTGCTGCAGCTGCCTGAGTCACCTCTGGATGTAGCGGAATGACACAGCTTCCTCAGACTGCAAATGCAAGGTGACCAGACGTCCTCCAAGCCAGGCGGACAGTCGTGGCTTGCTGGAGGGCAGCCAGCCAGGGCCAGGCTGCCGGCTGGTGCAGGCCGGGCTGGGGGGTGCCAAGTGGGGTGCCTCCCGCATTTCCCATGTCCAGGACAGCCGGACAGTGGGGGTCCTCATCCTCAGTAGGAAGGGAGTCTGGCTGGTCTCTGGGACCAGCCGGGCTGCAGTTAGTCGGTTGACACCTGTTTGACAGGTGCCCACTGGGTACCAGTGCCACAGTGGCCCCACCTACCCTTGTGGCCCCCTGTGGAGGGTGCCTGGCTTGGGGTCTCTGGCAGAAAGGCTCCTGGGAGAGGCAGGTACACCCTAGGTGGCCTCTGGTTTTGTGGATTGCACCTGTCGTGGGAGTCACTGGTGAGGGAGAGCGGGAGGGTGCTTACTGCTGTGCTCCTGGATTTCTAAACCCGAGTCTCGCACACAACTCCCGTCCTCTGTTCCTGGTCTTCCTCCCACCCCTCCTCCCTCTCCCGCATCCCACAGCCTCGGAGACCCGTGGAGGATAGAAGTGGAAGGGCCGCTCCGTCTCGGTCAGACCGGCTGGGTGGCCGCGGGGGTGGGGCGTGGGGTCTGCCTTGTCATTCACCCCTTGGGAGAGAACAAGTGACCCATCCAGAGCCCCCATGCCGGCCTTGGAGAGCGAGCAGCGGCCCTGATGCGTCCTCTCATCCGGGAAGAATCAGAGCCCTGAAGCTGAAATCCCTGTTTCTCCATGGGCATCCACAGCCAGGACTGTTCAGAGGGGTCATCCAGCCATCAGCTGTTCAACTCACTTTTGCACTCTCTTTTTTTTTTTTTAAGAGACAGGGTCTTGTTCTGTCACTCAGGCTGCTGGAGTGCAGTGGTGTGATCACAGCTCACTGCAATCTCGACTTCGTGGCTCAAGCAATCCTCCCACCTCAGCCTCCCGAGTAGTCGGGACCATAGGCGTGTGCCATCACACCTGGCTATTTAAAAATTATGGTTTTTTCAGAAGATCGAGACCATCCTGGCTAACACAGTGAAACCCCGTCTCTACTAAAAAAATACAAAAAACTAGCCGGGCGAGGGGGCGGGCGCCTGTAGTCCCAGCTACTTAGGAGGCTGAGGCTGGAGAATGGCGTAAACCTGGGAGGCGGAGCTTGCAGTGAGCTGAGATTCGACCACTGCACTCCAGCCTGGGCGACAGAGCGAGACTCCGTCTCAAAAAAAAATTATGGTTTTTTTTTTTTTTTTAGAGATGGGGTCTTGCTATGTTGTCCAGGCTGGTCTAAAGCTACTGGGCTCAAGCATTTGGCCTCCGAAGGTGTTGAGATTACAGGCAAGAGCCACTGTGCCCAGTCCCAACTTTAAGGAGAAACTGTTCCCTCCTGGACCCCAGAGCAGGTCCTTCTCAGCTTGTGCCAGCACAGCAAGAGATGCCAGGGCTGCCAATCCCCCACTGAGCAGGGCCAGACCCATGGGTGACCAGTGAGTATTAGCTGGGACTTAAAAAGTTAAAAATGGCTGGGCATGGTGGCTCATGCCTGTAATCCCAGCACTTTGGGAGACTGAGGCAGGAGGATCACTTGAGTCCAGGAGCTCGAGACCAGCCTGGGCAACATGGTGAGATCCCGTCTCTACAAAAAAGTTTAAAATTCTCTGGGTGTGGTGGTGCCCACCTGTAGTCCCAGCTGCTCGGGAAGCTGAGGCAGGAGGACCGCTTGAGCTCAGGAGGTCTGCAGTGAGCCAGGATGGCACCACTGCACTCCAGCCTGGGTGACAGAGTGGGACCTTGTCTCTAAAATGAAAATTAAAAGGGAAAACATGATCCTCCGGGAGCTGAGGTCGCTGCCTGGGGCTCAGCTGCTCCCGAAAACACAGTTCTGGGCGGCTGACCCTGGCCTGCCTGCCCTGCCACCGGGAGCCCCGGGCTCTGGATCGTCACCCTCTGCAAGGTGCCTCCCTGGGTGGAGCTGCCCTGCCCTGCGCTATATGGAGCCCAGGCCATCGGTCTGGATCCTAGAAGGGGGCGCCCAGCGTCCCGGCTTCGTCACTTATCCCCAGCTCCAGCCGCAGGAGTTACCTCCATCTGAGGCTGCTGGCGGTTCCTTTTCCTTGAGAGGAAATGATTCCCCCGCTGAGCCTTGTTTAGTTGTGCGTCACGTTGAGGTGTCTGGCCTTGGGTTGAAAACACTACCTCTTCCATCAGAAAACCGGTCACCTATGAGCTGTTCCAAGTTATAGGTGGTGCCAGAGAACTTTGCCGCCCAGCGCTGCTCCAGGGACGTGGGGCGTGAGCGCTGCAGCCTTACTTAGGTCGGCAGTTGGGGCCTCACAGCAGAAACTCAGACCAGACCTGGCCACCCAGGCCCCCCGCTGTGGCGCGGAACACTGCACTTCTCTGGTGACTCCACCAAAACTCAGAGGAGCTCAGGGGCGCCAGGTGCTTGTGCGTGGCGATGCTGGCATTTTGTTAGCTGGTGGGTGTGAGACAGAATGTGAGGGCATCGTTCCTTGGGGGCTGCTGGAGAGGAGCTTGGCTGCAGTGCTGACCAGGTGCTGATGCGGTAGCCCCTGCCTTGGGTCTGGGGTAGTGGGAAGCCGGCGTCACGGGCGTCTCTGGGACCCCAGGCACGCTCTCCCCCTGGATGACACCCTAAGGCTGCGTCTCTGGTCCTGGGGAGGTGGCCATTTCTAAGTGTGCTCTGGTGGCCCTTGAGGCCGTGTGAGGTTGGACAGTTCACAAAACCCTGTTTAGGGCAGTTGTCATTTTTAGATCAGTTGCTTTACAAACTTTTTTTGCACATACAGAACTCTTCTCTGAATCTCCTTCCAAAAGCAAGCTGTCATCTTTCTTGCCTCTGATGTTTAGAGCGACTTTAGGTTAATGCTGCTTGGATTTATTTTGTGCATGGTGGGGAGAGGTAGGTGCCAGCACCATCCCATCCCGTGCTGGGTTCTTGAGAGAAGCTTTGCCACTTGGCTGGGCCGTCCCTGCTGCTTCGCCTCTCGGGGGGCACGTGGATGGTCCAGGCTTCCTTGGCGGAGCAGAGTCGTGACCTGCCCAAGGAAGTCGGGGGCACGCTTGTGAGCACAGCATGGGGGCCGCCCAGGACCCCAGCTTCCCCTAGGTCTCTGGTTCCTCGGAGGGCCCCAGTGCAGGTGTGCCTCGAAGGACTGGGGTTTTGAGATGGGCACAGGCGTGCTCCAGCAGCCCTGGCGACCTTGACCTTGTGGAATTAGTCAGCTGCCCCTCCTGGGGTAGCCCCCGGCTACCGTACGCCTCCATGACGTCACAGGGCATCGCGGGAGGCATCTGTTTAGTGGAAAGATCCTCACGCTGAACTCTGCCCCTGGCACCCCGCACGTCACCGTGGCTCTGGCCAGACGGCCCTGTCCCCCAGACCTTCCTTTTCCGCCCAGCTGTGCTGCCGTGGCGGGCAGTGGGCCTGGGGGCCAGGGAGCGGGTCCTTGCTGGGTGGGAGGCCCGGGTGTGTGGGAATGCGCGCGCGGCTCTGTAAACATCTGGTGACTCACCGCATAGCTATGTCGTGGCCGGCCTGTGCACTGACGTGCTCACGGTGGAGCTGGAAGCGGTGCCCGCGGCCCCTCCCTCTGACATGGAAAAGTTTCTCATGGTGCTTCCAGCCGCCGGCATTTGCAGGTCCCCACGGTGGCGGAGGCAGCTGGGCCCCGGCCTCTCTACTGTCACCCTTGCCCCAGGGCGGGGTACGGAGGAGCCTGGAGTCCCCCTGGCCTTCCCCGGGACCGGCTGGTGCCATCCTGTGCCATCTACATTAGCGCCCTAAGAGCAGCCGGCCTTGGCAGAGGCAGCGGACCCAGCAGCCTGGCGCAGGACCCTGTCTCACCTGTGCGGCCCTCTGGTTGTGGGGGTGGGTGGGCTGTGGCGGGGGGCCCCCATCGGAGGCAGGGCTGGAGGGTGGAGGGATTTGGGCCGAGGGTTCCCTGGCCCAGGGTGTGGGGAGGGTCCTGGGCCGGCAGGGAGGGCGGGATGGGGTCACCCGCCCCGTGGTGCCCATGTCCGGTGGAGGTGCTGACCAAGGACACCCCCACCGCCGTGTGCTGCTCTGACGTTCCTGCGGGAACCCATGTCTGGTATTTGGGGTATGGGAGTGGGTGCTGTGGACCAGTCCCGCAAGCTTCCCGGCACCTGCCGCCTGGCGGTCCCAGCCACCGGGTACAAATGGGTTTGTTGACTGCCTGCCGGCCTCGTGATGTCTGCGCAGACTGACCTGAAGTCAGGATCGCGTTTGGGCTTCTCGGTTTCCATGACGACCGTGGGGGCTGGCTCGGTCCCAAGGTCGTCATGGCAACTATCGGAGGGCTCATGCCGGGGATGCTTTGGCTGGGTTTTTCATGAATGATTAGAATGTGTGACACAATGCAGACGTGAGGACGGCGGGGGCGGCAGCAGGGACGACTCCCGCCAGACGGTCGAACGCTCGGAAGGGCGGCGGCTCCCCCACCTTCCTGGTCTCTGACTGCGGCCCCTGGACCTGCCGCCCCTCAGGAACCCCACACCCCGTTGGGCTGCAGGGTCCTCGCTCGGGGGCAGCTTAGTTGGAGGTGGTGATGTCACAGCTGCAGCGGCCGGGGCCGTGGTAGGTGTCCCGTGGCCTGTGGGGAGGGCGGGGCGGGAGGGCGGCTGGGGCTCCACCCAGGCCCACCATGGGGGAAGCTGGTGATGGCAGGGGCTCCCCAGAGGCCCCCTCTTGGGGATCCAGGCTGGGCCCGGAGCACCAGAGCCTTTGCAAGGGTAGGGTCGCTGTCCAGTGGGGCCCCACGCTCCTCGGGGCCAGCACAGCTGCCTTGTGGGAGGGCAGTTTTGCCACCAATCGGTTTGGTCCTTGGGACGGAGCACCTTGTGCTGTGCAGGTGCAGACGTCTTCTCTGACCTCAGGGAGAGTCAGAACAGGAAGCAGCCACTGCTGGTGCCTGCTGGTCACCCTACAGCGCCGGCAGCTGCAGCCCAGGTCTTCAGGGCAGCAGGGGGCTGCACCTGGCTGCCAGGCCCTGGGGTGGGGGTCCCAGCTGCTCTGTGGACTGTGCTAGACTGTGAGGTGCAGCCAGACCTCCCCCTGGACCCTCGGGCAGAGACAGAGGCCGGGCCAGGATGCCCCACCCCCTGGGAAGCCCCCCAGGACGGACTGGGCCGGGACAGTACCTTGTTTTCAGGGTGCTGTGACCATCCACCCCAGGCTGAGGAACGTCCCTGCATGGGAGGTGGCCGTCCCTTCCGGCGCTGCTGGCCCTGACCTGCGCTGGGTTCTCTGCTTGCCCGTGTTTTCCAGCTACGAGTTCCAGGGAGCTCTGTCCTGGTAACTGTGCCCAGGTTATGACGACTAATCCCAAACCGAACAAGACATTAAAGGTAAGGCTGGCTCCAGGCAGGCCCCGTCTCAAGCACAGGTGTGGGAAAGGCCCCCCCATTCCCAGGGCCGTCCTGAGCCTGTGATGGAGGCCTCCCTGTTGGCAGGAGAAGGGGCTGCTGTGGCCGGGGGATGTTCACAGGAGAGGTGGGGCCAGGATCGGGGACTGTGGTTCCAGGAGATGACTCCCAGGCTCAGGGTGTGACAGGGTCTGTCCGCCTGGGCTGTGTGTCCGCCAGGCGCTACTGCATGAGCTCACCCCCCGACTCCAGGCGTGGGCAGACTGGCCTCTGGTGAATGGGATGCTCCAGCTCCTAGGGCCTGGGCCCACCTGTGCCTGGCGCTTGCCGCCTCTGCCATGGGGCATGCCTGTGGGCTGGCTCAGTCCCAGCAGCAGGACCCATGTGCTCCAGGTCCTCGTGGGCTCTGAGGCTGTCGGTAACCAGGAGTGACTGATGTCACCGCTGGCTTCTCCTGTTCAGAAAGGGTCCTGTGGGGCCACAGCCGTCACGTGGGCTGCCTGTGTGCATGGTGTCCTGTGGTCCCTGGTGCGGACGGCAAAGGCCAGCCCCCAAAGAGCATGGGCATGCAGGGGCACCGCTGGGTCCCTGTCCACCCCCGTGCCGGTCCCAGGCAGACACCCCACGTTCTCCCGCTGCTGACCCCGTGCTGTGGCCGCCCCCAGGTCAAGAAGGAGGCGGGCGAGAACGCTCCGGTGCTCAGCGACGATGAGCTGGTGTCCATGTCGGTGCGGGAGCTGAACCAGCACCTGCGGGGTCTCACCAAGGAGGAGGTCACCCGCCTGAAGCAGCGTCGGCGCACGCTCAAGAACCGCGGCTACGCGGCCAGCTGCCGCATCAAGCGGGTGACGCAGAAGGAGGAGCTGGAGCGGCAGCGCGTGGAGCTGCAGCAGGAGGTGGAGAAGCTGGCGCGTGAGAACAGCAGCATGCGGCTGGAGCTGGACGCCCTGCGCTCCAAGTACGAGGCGCTGCAGACCTTCGCGCGCACCGTGGCCCGGGGACCCGTGGCGCCCTCCAAGGTGGCCACCACCAGCGTCATCACCATCGTCAAGTCCGCTGAGCTCTCCTCCACCTCCGTGCCCTTCTCGGCCGCATCCTAGTGCCGGCTGGGGGCGGGGAGCAGCGGGCAGGCGGGCGGGGGCGCGCCCCTCTTACCTGTCACTGGGACGCAGACTCTCGACATCCGAGTCCAAGCGCAGGCCCCTCAGGCGCGGGCAACTCACACCAGGATGAGACTGTGGTGCAGGGTGAAGAGTGGGCTCCCGTGGGCCCAGAGCTGCGTGCCGGTCCACACACACGCCCGCCCCCTGCTCCCCACAGGATGCGTCTGTGTGTGGGAATTGGCATCTCGCACCCGTGGGAGTCGGGACGTATAACGGAAAGGCCCTCGGGAAGTTCCGCCGCCCCCGCGGGGGCTGCCAGAAGACACGGCCCCAGGAGTCAGGCCCCTGTGGTCAGGTCAGCGTGGGGCTTGTTTTCCACTGCAGCTGGGAGCAGCCTTCGACACCTGCCCTGCTGTGGCCTCCCAGCTGGTGCGGGAGCCCCTCGCTGCCCTGACCGACTCCGCAGACCCTGGGAGGAGCATGGATGGTGCGTCGGCAGCTCCGTACTTCCAGCTGTCCTGTTGCAGTTGCCCGTGACCCGTGTCTGCTTTAGCAGGGGCCTGCGCAAGTGGGCGCGGTGTGGGAGGCCGCCTACGTGGGGTGGTGTCTGTGTGTGTGCACGTGTGTGTGTGCAGGCCCGTCTGCCATCACAGCACCAGGGCTGAGGGGGCAGGTGTTCACCGGAGGAGGGCCTGTGGGCACGTGTGGCAGAGAGAGTGGCTCATACGTCGTGAGGTCTCCCGTGTGCTCTGGTGACCCGAGGAGGTCGTGCAGCACAGCACAGAAGCCCCACCCACGGGAGCTGGCCCCCCAGACACCGACCCCGCAGGCCATCCTGGCCTCAGCGGACACGGACAGGAGCGTCCCATCATTTGATAGTGAGCAGGACTCAGGCTCTGTGTCCTGGAGCTGCTTCTCACCAGCTGTGGTCAGTGCAGGGGGAACGAGGAGGTCTTTTGGGGGCCTAGAGGGGAAGGGCCGCTGCAGTCTAGGGAGAGGGGGTGCAGCCTGGGGGACGTTGGTAGATGTGGACGTGGAGGTGGGAGGGAGAGGACGTTGCATTGGGTGGTGGGAGGAGGCGGGAGCCGTGTGCGAGAGCTGGTGGAAAGGCTTGAGGGGCAGGACCAGGATGCGGCTGGCTTATACAAGAGCTCAGGAGTGAGGCTGGCACTCCGGAGGGCATGGTGGGTGGGGAGGCGGCAGGCACCAGGCCAGGAGAACCTCGTGGATGTGGCTCCCACGTACACACCCCCAGGAGCACAGCCACGGGCTGTAGGTGTGGCCTTGGCACTCAGTCCTCGCCCGGAGCCTTCGCCTGTTCCTCCTTCCCCGAGCACCGAGGCACTGGTGGGCTTGGCACTCCACCTTGGGCTTCCTTTTCCTGGAGTGCCACCTTGAGGGTCCCTGCTGTGACTGGGGTATCTGCAGTGGGGGTCGTAGAGCCCCTGCCTGGGGGAGCTGGCGGAATGTGAGCCACTGGCCGGGGGCCACCACCTAGGACATGCAAAGTGGTGCCTCGGCTCCCCCTGCCCATCCAGTAACACCCCCACCGGCTACAGAGCCCAGGCTGGTGCCAGCCACGCTGGGAGGGCAGAGGACAGACAGCCCCGGGGCGGCGACTTGGTTCTGTGTCTACTGTTAGAAGTGAGTGGGAAGCTGCAGGCCCGCCAGGACCACTGGGTCCCTGTGAAGCAAAGGCCTGCGAGTTCCCAAATAGCCGTTGCCCCCGTGGCCATGGTAGGTAATCCATATTGGATGTCATAAGGACCAGGGGGATATTTAAAGAGAGAAACAGAAACTATATAGAGATATAAAATTATATTCACAGTTTATCTACAGATTTTTCGTAACAATCTTTCTTTTCCAGTTTGATACTGTAAATCTATCAGAGCAGAGCTTGGGGGCACGGGCACAGGTGGGAGTTGGGAGCAAACCGGAGGCCCGGGCTGCCCACCATCCCCCTCACCACGGACTGCACCAGGCTGCTGGGCCCCCACAGGACAGGCTGCAGCGGGTGGCCGGTTCTGTCCCATCTTGGGGTTCTTGGTGTCCACGTCTTGTGGGCCGTGGGCGACCACCTGCCCTCGGCCTGTGGTGCTTTGCCGGAGAGGGGACTCCCCGGCCCCCAGGGTGGACGGAGCCGCTGTCACCGCCCAGAGCCAGGCCGGGGAAGCACGGCGCGTTCTGCTTTTCTTTTCGGATCGTTGAAATTTCATTGTCATGATTTAATATATGGATTTTTTTATTTAAGAAAAAGACGAAGGCCTCTTTGCCGCGTGGGTTTGTTTTCTGTCTCTGTGCCTCCGGCTTCCCAAAGAGATCCAGGTCTTTGCGTTTCTAGGGCGTGGGGACCCCTGTCCCCCATGCCCCCACACCGCCTCACCCTGGCCTCTGTGCTACTTGGCAGTTCCATTTCAATATTTATTTTTGTGCTGCTTTTTATCATGATATAAATTATTGAGAACAGATCACATGTGGGCCCGTGTCTGGCCGCCGCCGCCCTGCCCCGTCCCTGCGGCCACCACCTAATTTATTGCCGTGCGTCCTGCTGCTGTGACCGCTTTTGTACCTTTGCAATAAAGAATTTTCTGGTTTCAGACCTTTTCGTTGTGCAGTTGGTGCTTTTGGCTGGGGCTTTTTTGGGCCAAGAACCACACAGCCCCCATCCCAGGGGACCCCGCCTGTCCCTCACCAGGGTCAGGATCCGGGCACCATGTGTAAGTGGCTTTCACAGACTGCTGGCCCGTGACCGTGATGCTGGGACAGCCACGGGGGAGGTGCTGGTTAGGTGGCCACGTCCTGGGCTCAGTCTCCGAGGGTCAGGCCGCAGTCCTGAGTGTCGCCATCTGCCCCACCCACAGCCCCCTGTCCACGCAGCCTCTCCCAGTGGAAGGAGCAGAGAGCACCATGGCTGTCAGTGTCCCCCTTCCCCAGGAGATCCCTCACCCAGCTCTGCTGGACTCTCAGAGGAGCCTGCAGGAAGCCGTGAGCAAGACAGGGTCTGTCTGGGAGCAGAGAGCAAAGCGGCCCTGCACAGTGGCTGGAAGCCTGTGGACTCCTCTGAAAAGCCAAGGGCCTGCCCACATGCCGTCGCCGCTCCGCCTGGCCTTCCGGGAGAGCAGCCCTGGCACACCCGGCCCCATTTTTGGGGCTGAGCTGACCGAAGGGTGAATGCCGTTCAGTGCTGGACCACGCAGGGTGAAATCCAAGCTGGATTTTTTTGAGACATCTTGCTCTGTCACCCAGGCTGGAGTGCTCGTGATCACGGCTCACTGCAGCCTCAACCTCCCGGGCTCAAGCAATCCTCCCATCTCAGCCTCCTGAGTAGCTGGGACCGCCGGCATACACCACCACGCTCAGCTAATTTTTGTATGTTTTTGGAGAGAGGGTGTTTTACCATGTTGCCCAGGCTGGTCTCGGACTCCTGGGCTCAAGCAATCCACTCGCCTTGGCCTCTCCAAGTGCTGGAATTACAGGCATGAGCCATGGCACCTGATCATAATCCCACCTCTCAGCATCTGTGTGGCCTGGGGCCAGTTCCCTCCTTCCCAGCCTTGCTTCCTGTGAGGTGGGTGTGGAGGTGACTGCAGCAGCCGGCGCATGCCGCGGTGAGGGTTGAATCTGTGCTGGGGCCACAGCAGCCTGAGCTTGTCACTAGCAATGGCAGGGATGGCACTTTCCCCAGCTAAGTCAGACCTCCCCTGTGGCCCACCCTGCGGCTCTGGGCCCAGCCTGCTCCTCCTGGGGGAGCTGGTGGGTGTGAGTTGGGGGCACAGAGCCCCAGCCCCGTGTGGGGCTCCTGGAGGCCACGGACAGACAGGGAAGCTGTGAGAGGAGACGCCACCCTGCCCAGCCGTGCAGCCTGCACCCGGGCCAGGCCAGGGCCCCCAGGGCTTCTACCCTTTCTTGTGGATGCTGGGGATTTTCAGCTGGACCATCTCCCAGACGAGGACACTGAGGCAGGAGAGGTTAGAGAGGTTGGTGGGGGCACCGGGCCAAGACACGTGGCTCCTGCCTGCCTCGAGGCCCACTCCTCTGTCGGGGCCTGTCACCGGGAAACCCCTTTTTCTGCAGCGATGATGACACTGGAACCACGCTGGTCTCCGTCCTTCCCCCTCTCATGAGCCCACGGTCCCTCTCGAGGCGGGTTGAGCCCTGGCCTGGACCGCCCCACACTGCCTCCGTCCACGCCAAGCGGACTCAGCCCTCGGGGCTTTCCTTTGAGTCGTGTTGGAAAGAAGCAGAGCAGCCTCACCCATGGGCAGAGGCGTCTGTGAGGCTCAGGAGGCAGCGGGGAGAGAGGGCCTCTGTGGAGCCGGCTCCTGGTGTCCCAGTCCCTGCTCTGTGACGCCAGCCTCCCCCGCGGGCAGAGGCATCTGTGAGGCTCAGGAGGCAGGGCGGAGAGAGGGCCTCTGTGGAGCCAGTTCCTGGTGTCCGAGTCCCTGCTCTGTGACCCCAGGCAACTTGCTCCATCTCTCTGGGCTCAGTCGCCGTCCCAGCTGGTGTGAGCGCTGAGCATGTCAGTTTCCTGGCACAGTCCTTGGCTGGTCCAAGTGGGCATTTGGCGGAAACTGACTTCTCCCCTGTCCTAAACCGCAGGCCTGAGGGGCTGCTGACATAGGAGCTCAGCCCCCAGCACCTCAGCCTCTGCCGCCGGGAGCCCACGTGGTGTCTGGGTCTCCAGAAGGGGAGCCCTCGGCCACGCACCCTCCAAACACAGATTTCAGCAACTCGATCTCTAATGGGGTGGCCTTCCCCAGGGCAAGGGCAGAGCAAGCCTATCGTCTGGCCAGTGCCCCCAGCCTCCAGAAACTGGCCCTTGGCAGCAGGTCCCCGGGGAGCACCACGCCCCCACCTGCTGACAGAGTGAGACACGGGGGCTGCCTGGTGGGTCTCTCCCTGTGGGGGTCCAGTAAGGCAGGTGGGCATCTTTGCAGCCACGCAGGGAGGAGCTCGGCCTATCAGGCAGCCCGGCCGGGCCCTGCAGACCCACTGGCCTTGGATCCCCATGTCCCCAGCCCAGGAAGCAAGAGGCTGGGAGCTGGCCCTCTGTTGCCTGGACCCCACTGGTCCGTGCCCGCCTTGCTGAGTCCCTCGGAGACTCCAGGTCCTGCTGTTCCCGGTGGCCGTGGCCATGGGTGGGGGCAGCACAGGTGGGAGCCGCGGTCCCCGGGTGGTACCCACTGGGCCTTCCTGTCTGCTCTCCATGCCCAGTGCCTGAGCCCCCCCGGCCTTGCCCACTTCTGCTGCCCCTGCCCCAGCCCCCACCCAACCTGTGCTGTGGGCCCCAGATACACAGAACTGACTGCCACCTGCAGGCCAGGTCACTGTACTGTCCCCTGAGGGGCCCTGGGCCTGGAGGGTGCCCTGCAGTGACACCCCTCGCCCTGGGCCAGCTGTGTGTCCTTCCAGAAGCCCCCTTAGTTCCTGGGCGGCTGTTGTTCTCGCCGCCAGGATTTCCAAGGCCTCTTAGGGGCCTCCAGCTTCCTGAGGGCAGGGCACGTGTCTGAAGCTCGGCTCCTCAAACCCAGGGCCCCACCTGGCACGTGGAGGAAGAAGAGAAGGGGAGGAGGCAGGTGCCCAGGCGGGAGCCCCCTCTGTGCCCCCTGGGAGTGCCCCCCCAGGTACTCAGGGCCCTGCTCTCACGGCCTTGTCCCCTCGCCATGAGTGGGGCTGGCACAAGGCCCATTCTGGAGGAAGTAGAGGCTCCCAGCAGAAAGGCGGCAGCTGTGATCTCACAGCCCAGCCTCTGCCCTGCACTGCCCTGGGCCACGAGTCTGCCCACCCCAGTCAGGTGGGACCCCTTTCCCGCATGCAGACTCTGTGACCCCCACCACATCCTGCTCCTCAGGCTCAGGCTCTGCGGGAACAGAAGCCAAGACGCAGTAGAAAATCCAAGGTGTTTAGGCCAGGCGAGGTGGCTCACGCCTGTCATCCCAGCACTTCGGGAGGCCGAGGCGGGCGGATCACGAGGTCAGGAAATCAAGACCATCCTGGCTAACATGGTGAAACCTCGTCTCTACTAAAAATGCAAAAAATTAGCTGGGCGTGGTGGCGGGCGCCTGTAGTCCCAGCTACTTGGGAGGCTGAGGCAGGAGAATGGCATGAACCCGGGAGGCGGAGCTTGCAATGAGCCGAGATCGCGCCACTGCACTCCAGCCTGGGCAACAGAGCAAGACTCCGTCTCAAAAAAAAAAAAAAAAGAAAAGAAAATCCAAGGTGTTTAAATATAAATAAGAGCACTTCCCACAGCCCCGCGGTGCTGGCCAGCCTCATGGGCACCCAGTGGTTCCACGACCCATTCCAGGCACACGCTCCCCTGGGTGGGCGCCTGGCCAGGGCTCCCCTGTGGCTGGTGTGTGAAGACATGTGGGCCCTTCTCCACTTGCCCACGATGGCCACAGCAGGCTCCGAGGAGGCCCAGCCCTGGCCAGCTTGTGTGGACCTCACCGGTCTGCAGCACCCAGAGCTGCTGACTGTGTCAGGGCCCGGCTGCCCAGCACCCCGGCGCCCCTCCCTCCAGCTGCCCAGCCTGGGATCCGTGTGCTGTCTGTCTCTTGAGTCAGGGAGTCTGGCCCACTCATAGCTCCCGTGGGGCCCGTACAGCCAAGGCCCGGCAGCCACGCTGACTCCCTGCCCCACGGTGGCCCCTGGGGCTGATGGCCAGGTGATCCCGGGGTCCTCAGGCTCTTCCGATTGGCTCAGGTGCCCTCTCCTTGGGCGGCGGGCCCACCTGGGTGCCTGGGAGGGCCATCAGGTGCCCTGACCCCCGGGCTGGAGGGAGGATGGGAAATGGGCTCCGAGGGCCTCGCAGGAGGGCTCTCAGGAGAGGCCCCCACCTTTGGCAGGGTTGATGGGTGGGGGGCCCTGTTCTTCCCCAGAGGCGTGGGCAACCTGGGTCCCTAAAGCACCAGCAGCCAAGGTCCCCCTACAGGTCCTCCGAGGGGATGAGCATCCGCTTCTCCAGGCTCCGGCTCTTCCTGCCCCTGCCAGAGCTGCCGCCGGGGTGGGTGTCCGGCCTGGGCGCCTCCTGCGTGGCCTGCTGCGTGTAGTGCTGGTAGGCGGGGGAGAAGTTGTGGATGGCGTCCTGCACAATGTCCTGGGGGCTCACTGTCTCCCTGAGGCCACTGGAGATGCTCTGCATGGGTGCCGGGGGTGCTGGAGGAGGGCAGCATATGAGCCCCACCATCCCCCACTGCGCTCCAGTCCCCGCCGGACAAGCCCCCTCAGCCCCGCCTCCCAGGATGCCCAGGGCTGTGGCTCCTGCATGTCCAGGTCTGGCCTCGGCCAGCGGAGGGTGACCCCAGACCCCTGGACCCCAGTTCAGCTTGCTCCACCCAGCACCAGGCCTATTCCTGGCCAGACCCCTCCCAAGGACCACGTCCCCTAGAGTTTCCGAGGGGCTCCAAGCAGCGGAGTACGCCTTTGGCTGGCCTGGGGTGGGCACCCTGGTATCTCCACAATGACTGATGAGAAGCCAGGCAGGCCACAGGCTGTCCCCGCCCTAATGGGGGGCATGCCTGGCAGGGGACACCCATCCCCCATCACCATCGGGGTCTGGGCCCATCTGGACCCCACACAGCCCAGGTCCCTGTCCGGAGCTGGATGCCCTTTGGCCGTCTCCCTGCCCAGCGAGCTGGCATTCCTGGGCCTTGAGAGTGGCACGGACACAGACCCGGTGCCCAGGGCAGGGCTGTGCGCCCTGGCTGGAAGGCAGAGCGTACCTGGTGAGTTCTCCTTCTTCTCTGCGTACACCTGGCAGGGGAAGGCATAGCGCAGGGCCACGGAGGCAAACAGCATCTCCACACAGATGATAAAGTTCTGGTAGCCAGCGGCCAGTGTGCCGGCCCCCAGCCTGTTCCCACCGCTGGTCTCCACCTCTGGGATGACCCCGCACCGCTCCAGGACGGCCAGCAGCAGCCCTGCGGATGCCACGGCTGCTCAGCCCCAGCCCCGGATGGGGTCTGCAGGGGAGGAAGAGGCCCCGGACCCCGCAGTGGTTCCTCTGACAGGCGCCGTGACCCTGTCCGTGTGGTCTCGTCCCACCCCAGGAGACTGAGGTTCGGGGGGCAGGGCGCCTCCAAAGTTGGGGGTCCTGAACCTCGCAGCGGCTCCTCTGACAGGTGCCGTGACCCTGTCCGTGTGGTCTCGTCCCACCCCAGGAGACTGAGGTTCAGGGGGGCAAGGCGCCTCCAAAGTCGGGGGTCTCAGCACAACAGGTGCTCAGGAGCTCTCCCGGGCCCGCCCTGCCGCTCCAGCCCCAAACCTTGGGCCCGTCCCCAGCTCCTCCCTGTCTGGTGGCCATCCTCCTCTGCCAAGGTGGGCTGTGAGTTCCCTGGCCTGGCAGGGACCGGGACTCAGGAAATGCCAGTGTGGCCTCTGTGCGACCTCTCCCCACTGACTGTGGGCCCAGACCTGCTGGCAGGACCTCCCCACTCCCCCTGTGCCCGCAGGCTCTACCCTGGCTTCCAGCTGACCTGTGCTGCCGCTGGGGAAACTGAAGCTCGGGGGAGCTGGGAAAGGGGGCGTGAGGTGACCCCAGGCTCTCTGGACTGCAGCCCCCACCTCGGCAGCATCCCTGCCCCACACACCTTGCCAGAACGACAGGAAGATGACGGCTTTGATGGTGAGGAACTTGAGGACAGGCTGGAAGGGCCGCAGGAGCTCCCTGGTGGTGAAGTAGAAGAGGAACAGGGCGTAGAGGGCGAGGCTGACAGAGGCATTGTAGATGAGGGTCACATAGAGGTACCCGCTGCGGACACTGGGACAGACGGGAGCTGTGGTCAGGGCAGCCCCACGACCCCGCCACCCTCCCCACCCTAGAGCCGCCGCCGCCACCGCACCCTCGGCCTGGCTCCCACCCTGAGCTTGGGAGCATGGGCCCTGCAGGGATCCTGGCCCCGATCTGATCCTCACTTCAGGGCCTACAGGAGAGCGTGGGGGAGCTGGGGGTGGCTGGGGGGCCTATGCAGGGGTAGGGCAGGGACACGCGGCCATTCTCCCTACTGGCCCTGCTCCTCCTTGTCCCAGGATCCCATCCTCTGTGCAGGCAGCATCCAGGCTGCCTCTGCCGGAACGCTGCCTCCCAACCCTGTCCACCTGGCCACTGCCTGAAGGTCCTCTATGTGGTGGACACACATGTGTCATTCCCGTGTGAGTGTGTGCACATATGTGTGTGTGCACAGATGTCGTGTGCACATGGTTGGGGTGCATTGTGTATGTGCACACATTGCGTGCATGTGAGCGTACATATGTGTGTGGTTGTGGTGTGTGCATGGTTTGCGCACATGCTGTGTGCATGTGTGAATATGTGATGCACCTGTGTGATGTGTGTGCACAGGTGAAAGCACATGTGTCCGTGTGTGAGCATGTGTGTGGTGGTGGTGAGCATGCATGTGGACCTTGGCAGGGGTCCTTCCTGTGCTGGGTGGCTGGCTATCTGCTCAGACAACAGGTCGGGGTGGACCTTGGCCCCATTGGCCCAGGTGTCTTTAATACCAAGAGTGCTCAAGGCTGGGCGGGGGCTGGGGCCATCACTGCCTGGCCAGAAGCCCTGAGGTCCTCAGCACAGACGCTGGCACAGACGCCAGACTCACCCCGGCCATGTCCTGTGAGGGGAGGTCCAGGCCCCTGGCCTTGGCAGGCACTGAGGTCCTTGTGGAGAGGAAGTGGGTACCTGTCTTGGGTGGGGTCCCTAGCCCAGCTGGACGCCAAGCCCGCCTCATTGGGCCCCATTGCCGGGCCCCGGCCCAGTGCCCACCTCATGCCAGGCACCCCTGAAGCTCCCACCTTACTTGAGCCCAGCTGGACGCCAAGCCCGCCTCGCTGGGCCCCACTCCTGTGCCCCGGGAGACCCAGTGTCCACCTCATGCCAGGTGTCCCCGCAGCTCCTGCCTTACTTGAAGTCCCCGTCGTGGTATCTGCCAAATGCCTGGAGGACGATGGTGGTGACGGCCATGACGGGCTTCACCAGGCAGAACTGCAGAGTGGCCTGGGGGCGATGGCACCCGGTGGGCCTGGGGCCAGGTCCCCCAGGGGCCCAGGAATGGGGGTTGGGGCAGCCAGCAGTGAGCAGCCCCCTGACACTGGGTAGGGTGGCGCTGGGCTGGCCAGGTGGGAGGAGGGCGGGCAGGGCTGGGCGGATCCCCTCACCTGCTTGCAGAAGCGCAGGAACCCGATGGAGTAGGTCATGCCCCGGAGGCAGCAGGTGCCGTAGAAGCAGCTGGACCTGTGGGGGACATCCCTGAGCCGGTGCGGGAGAATGCAGCCCCAGTGCCGCCCAGGTGCCCAGTCCCAGGTGTGTGGGGTGTGTGGGCTCTGGGGTGAGACGCTTACTTGATGGGCTTTCCACGAATCTCAGCCATGATGGCACCCTCACCTCCCAGGTACTGGAAACACAGGCTCAGGAAGCTGTAAATGACAAAGGCTGCCGGGAGTGCAGAGGGGGACCGGCCGTGAGTCCTGAGCCGCACCGGGACCCCGTGGCGCCCATCTCACCAGGACAGGAGGAGGCTCAGGAGGGGCCAGGCCTGGCAGGTCACACAGCAAGAGGCTCCTGATGGGCCCCATCCCCAGCGGGGCAGCCTGAGAGGGTCAGGGTGCTCCTTCAGGGGCCCCGCTTTCACCCCAGGCCAGGGCAGGTCCACCGAGCCCCTTGCACGGAGGCTGTGGGGTCATGGGTTCCAGGCCTGCCAGCGCCACTAACCCCAGCTGTCCTGGCAGCCCCTCCGACAGGGGCAGGGAGAGTGGGGTGCCCTGGGGGCTGGCCACGGAAGTGTGTCCATGCATGCAGGCCCCGGGGAGTCTCTCCCTCCGCTCCCCCGACGGATGCCACCCAGCGCCCACCTTCATAGCAGTCCCGCACAGAGTCAAAGTAGACGTAGTACTGGTGGTCTCCCAGGAGGAGGAGGCTGAGCCAGGAGTCGAAGGCATAGATGGGCACGATGAGGAGCAGGCGGATGATATAACGCTGTTCCTGTGGCACTGTGTAGGAGCGTAGGTGCAGGTAGATCTGGGCGCAGGAGGGTTCAGGTGAGAGCCGGGCCTGCCCGGTACCCTGCACCAGCCCAGGTGAGCCGGGAAGGAGGTAGGGTGGGCATGGGCCACCAGGCACCTTCTATGTTTGCATTTTCTAGTTTTCTACAATGGGCATCCTTATTACAATTAGAGAAAATAAATTATTTGCCTATTGTAATCAGATGCATACTTTTATACTTATTTACTATAAAAGTTCATATAAGTATGAATGTGTAAGTATACATTAAATACATATTTCTGATTACAACTAAAAATAATACACATTTTAAGAATTTACTTTTTATGGCTGGGCGTGGTGACTCACACCTGTAATCCCAGCAGTTTGGGAGGCCAAGGTGGGTGGATCATTTGAGGTCAGGAGTTCAAGACCGGCCTGGCCAACATGGTGAAACCCCGTCTCTACTAAATATACAAAAATTAGCCAGGTCTGGTGGCGTGTGCCTGTAATCCCAGCTACTCAAGAGGCTGAGGCAGGAGAATCACTTGAGCCTGGGAGGTGGAGGTTTCGGTGAACTAAGATTGCGCCACTGCACTCCAGCCTGGGCAACAGAGCGAGACCCTGTCTCAAAAAAAAAAAAAAAATTATTTTTTTGAGAAACATAGTCTCACTCAGTTGCCCAGGCTGGAGTGCAGTGGCACAATCATGGCTCACTGCAGCCTTGAAATTCCCGGGCTCTAGTGATCCTCCTACCTCAGCCTGCTGAGCAGCTGGGACTACAGGTGTGCACCACCTTGCCTGGCTAATTTTTGTATTTTTCGTACAGACGGGGTCTCACTGTGTTGCCCAGGCTGGTCTCAAAGTCCTAGGCTCAAGCGATCCTCCTGCCTCCGTCTCCCAAAGTGCTGGGACTACAGGCATGAGCCACTACACCTGGCCTAAAATTTATTTTTCAAATTGGCAAATCAAATTTGTATGCATTTACAGTGTGCAGTGCGATGTCTGATATGTGTGTTCGTGGGGAATGGCTGAGTCAAACCCATTAACATCTCTATTATCTCCCATAGTTAGCATTTCTTTGCAGGGAGGACATGTAAAATGTACTCTTTTAGCAATTTTCAAGCATAGAATACGTTGTTATTTATAGTAGTCACCATGTTGTACAATAGATCTTTTTTTTTTTCTGAATGACTTCCTTGGGCATGAATGAGGGTCCTGTTTGTTCCTAGCCTGGGAAAGGGAACTCTCACTCATTCCTTCATTCAGCAGGCATTTCTGGAGCCCAGTTAAGTGTCCAACCCGGGGAACGGGGAGGGGACATGTCCTGGTCCTGGGCTGGGCAGACTCTCAGAAGGCAGGTTGGCTTTTGCTGTGGGGGCATCCAAAGGACGTGCACCCTTTGATTCCTAAGAATTTGTCCCTCCCTAGGGGCCGGGCACAGTGGCCCACCCCTGTAATCTTAGCACTTTGGGAGGCCGAGGCGGGCGGAGTGCCTGAGCTCAGGAGTTCGAGACCAGCCTGACCAACAGGGCCAACCCCATCTCTGCTAAAAAATACAAAAATTAGCCAGGTGTGGTGGCGGGTGCCTGTAGTCCCAGCTACTTGGGAGGCTGAGGTGGGAGGACGGCTTAAATGCGCGAGGCAGAGGCTGCAGTGAGCAATGATTATGCCACTGCATCCCAGCCTGGGCCACAGAGTGAGATCTTGCCTAAAAAAAATGAAAGCCAATCCCAGCACTTTGGGAGGCCGAGACAGGCAGATCACGAGGTCAGGAGATCGAGACCATCCTCGCCTAACCATGTGTAAACCGTCTTCTATCAAAATACAGAAAATTAGCTGGGCGTGGTGGCAGGTGCCTGTAGTCCCAGCTTACTTGGGAGGCTGGAGGCAGGAGATGGCGTGGAGCCGTTGAGGCGGAACCGCAATGAGCTGCAGATCCGGTTCCACTGCACTCAGCCTGGCGGACAGAGCGAGCTCTGTCCAAAAAAAAAAAAAAAAAAAAAGGGAAAGGCCTGGGCAAATATGGGTGATTATATATGTTTGCCTTTAACCTTTTCTAGATTCCCTGTTTTTATTTATTTATTTATTTATTTATTTATTTTTAATTATTATTATTATTTTTTATTGAGACAGAGTCTCGCTCTGTCGCCCAGGCTGCAGTGCAGTGCTGCGATCTCAGCTCACTGCAACCTCTGCCTCCTGGGTTCAAGTGATTCTCCTGCCTCAGCCTCCCAAGTAACTGGGATTACAGGCACGCACCATCATGCCTGGCTCATTTTTGTATTTTTAGTAGGGATGGGGTTTCCCCATGTTGGCCAGGCTGGTCTCGAACTCCTGACCTCAGGTGATCTACCCGCCTTGGCCTCCCACAATGCTGGGGTTACAGGCGTGAGCCACCGTGCCCGACCGATTTTCCAAGTTTTCTGTGAGGACACAACAAAGGTCCTGTCTGAGGACCCTTTCAGACAGGGTCAGCCGAGCCTGGGAGCTGGGTGCACGGGGGCCCGTGTGGAAGGCTTTCTGGAGGAGATGCGTGAGCGGCAGTGGGCAAGCAGAAGCGACGTGCACCTGGCTGCTTGGGGTGCAGCTCAGGGAGTTGGGGGAGGTTGGCGGCAGGAACGGACTCTTATCAGTCACACACTCCCCGCCGGTGCCTGGGAGGGACGGCATGACCAGCCATCAGGAGACCTCTCCCGGGGCTGGCGCTGCCTGGCTGGGTGACCTTGACAAGCCACTGTCCTCTCCGGCCCTGGTCCTCCCATGTATAAAGCAAGGGGGATCCAGCCACTCTGTGTCCTGCCTGGGACTCCTCACTCGAGGGTGGCTCTGGAGGTGGGCTCAGGGGTGGGACAGGGCCTGAACTCCAGCTCAAGGGGTTTCCATGAGCCCTGTCTTGACCGCGAGGCCCCATGAAGCTGAAGCCACACTATAGCCGCACACACACAGCCGGTTCCCAGGATTACAGAGCAAAGACGGCCTCCTCCAGGAAGCTGTCTCTGATGGCCTTACAGGAAGGGCCTGCCTCAGCACCACCTCTGCGGCTCTGCACCCTCCAGGCCCACACTCATACACGTCTACCTTTGGTTCTGGTTATCTGGTCACAGCTCACCGCAGCCTTGAACTGGGCTCAAGCGATCCTCCCACCTCAGCCTCCCTAGTAGCTGGGACTACTGGTGCAGGCCTCCATGCCCAGCGAATAAGCAGCTAATCAGCTATCACGGAGATGCTGCCTCGGAGGCTTGTGGCCATCGGGGTCCCTGCCTGCCAGTCTCCTGATGGCCCCCTGCCCTGGCTCACCTACAGATCCATTCCCTACACCAGTGCCCCGTGCACCCGGGGAGCAGCTCTGCTCTCAGCCCAGCCCTCCACAGCCTTCCTGGGCTCCCAGCACCCCATGAAAGCTGCCTCCCCACACTGGGGTCAAGGGCTCTGGACAAACCCCTGCAGCTGTGTGACCCTCGCTGGCCTGTACACGCCTTCCCACCCCACCCCTGCACACACTGCCCTGGCCTCTCTGTGTATCCGAAGCTCTCAGGTGGGTCCCGTCCCTGACCCTCTGCCCTCTCTGCCCACCCCCTACCCTCGGGCACCACTTCCTCCTTGCCCTTGCCTGGCCCTTCCTTGCCACCGCGCCTGGCCACTTCTCTACCTGGGGGCTGTTCTATTCCCAACTGGGGACTGCTGCGGGTCGGGGGCTGTGTATGTGGCTTGGGGCTTGAGGAAGTTGCTTCTCGCTCGTCTCCCACACAGGAGTTCCAGTGCCTCCAGCCAAGCTGTGACCTTTGCTCCCCAGCTCCCTACAGAGCAAAGTCCAACCCCCTGCCAACCCCCCACCAGCCTTCTCCAGGGTGCCACACCTCTGGAGGGAGAAGGCCCCTTCCCCTTTTCAACTACGTGAGCTTGGGAAAGGCCTCTGGTCTCTCTGAGACTCAGTCTTCTTGTCTGTGAAATGGGACCACACTGCTGACCTCAGGGAGCCGGGTGAGGAGCCTGTGAAATAGCCAGGGATGCCTGGTGGGTGCTCTGCCCTCAGCCTGGCAGAGACCTCCCCATTTTCAGGCCCAGCTCCCACACGCCACGTCCTGGGGAAGCTCATCCCCTCCCCCGTGCCCTGGCCAATCCCACTTCTGACAGCATCTGTAGCAGCAGCACCCAGCGGGGCCGGGCTGAGCCACGGCCACGTCCCGTGGAGACCGGGGTCCTGAAGGAGGCTCAGGGGTGGGAGGGCTTACCTGGTGGCAGGTAAGCACCAGGGCAGTCCACACGAAGATCCCTGAGACACCTCGGGCCAGCGCGGAGGTGAGGAAGAGCCAGGGGGCCCCCTGGGAGCCGTTCCCCATGTGGTCCATCTGCGGCCCAGCTGGCACGGCCGGCGAGGGGTTGGGCTGCGGCCAGGTCGCTGACACCAGGGGGACACCGGCTGTCTCCAGGATCCCTGAGACATTACTCATCTGCAGAGGGAGGAAGGACACACACCGGGAGGAGTGAGGGCAAAGGTGCCGGTTCCCGGCAGCAGGAAGCAGCCGAGGAGGGAGGAGACAGTGAGAGGCTGAACCACCCGCCAGGCCGCGCCCCGCACAGGGACACCAGCGCCAGGCCCAGCTCCCTCCCTGCTCCAAGCTCAGCCACCCAGGCTCACCCCATCAGCCACCTGTGACCTGAGGGCCCCACCTCGGTTCCCCCTTGTAAAACCAGCTTCCACCTCCAAGTCTCAGGTTTGCAGGGAGCCTGCTTCTTAGGAGACAAAGACTGTCTTCCAGTGGGGTGGAAGAGGGGAACCCCTGCCGCCCTGCCTGCCCGGGAGGTCTGGGGAGCAGGCGCAGACCAGCACTGCCTGCCCCGGCAGAAGGTGTGCAACCAGCCCCATGGGAGGAGCGGCCCTCACTGGTTCCCCGGCACCTGCCCGCCCGCCTGGGAGCCCGGCTTTGCTGGGGTTCTCGGCAGCCACAGGCGCCTGTTCTTCCGTCTCCTACAAACATGCTGGGGTCCTGAGTTCACCCTCTCCCACACTCACAGCCCAGTCCAGCCTCCTCCTCTCCCTCTGGTCTGCGGTCACAGTGCCCGGCTCTACCTTTGCTGGCAGGAAGCACCTGGCCCAGTCTGGGGAGGCCCAGCCTCCAGGGAAGCCTAGCTGGTCATTCTCATGGCCACGTGGCCCCCACTGGTGGCCCCACTGTGGGTGGGGCAAGGCCGGGATCTGAAGGGCTGTGCCAGGCTGGGGCGGGGCGGCCAGTGCCTCATGTCCCCAGTGGCCCACCTGGGCCCCAGGCTGCAGGCCTGTCTCCTCCTGTCCCCTCCCACGGCTGACACTCTATCCTCCTGTCTGTTTGCTGGGTGGCAGCTGGCTCCCAGGAAACTGCTGACCGCCTGGCGCCCTCACCTGCCTGTGCCAGACGGCCAGGCAGTTGCCACCCGGCGGAGACAGGTGGGAGAGGTCTGTGGCAGGCCAAGGAGGGGCGGGCTGCAGGAGGAGAAGTGGAGAGCTAATGGTACAGGGTTTCTCTTGGGGGGTGACGGGGTCCCGAAATGAGGTAGAGGCGGCAGCACACAGCACTGCGGATGGACTTACTGCCACCGAATTGTTCACTTAAACCTGGGTAAACTGATGTTATGTGAACTTCATCTGAATTGAAAAAATAAATCCGTGCCCCAAGAGGTATGTTGAAAACATTCAAGTTTTCTGGACCGGGTGCGGTACCTCACGCCTGTCATCTCAACACTTTGGCAGGCCAAGGTGGGCGGATCACTTGAGGTCAGGAGTTCGACACTAGCCTGGCCAACATGGTGAAACCCTGTCTCTACTAAATACACAAAAACTAGCCAGGTGTGGTGGCGCGCACCTGTAATTCCAGCTACTCAAGAGTCTGAGGCAGGAGAATCGCTTGAACTCAGGAGGCGGAGGCTGCAGTGAGCTGAGATCACACCACTGCACTCCAGCCTGGGGACAGAGGGAGACTGTCTCAAAAAAAAAAAGGAAATATTTCTAGTCTTTGTGTGTCAAGGCAGGACTCGAGGAGTGACAGCACAGTCCCCGGACCCTTCGGAGTCTGGCAAGGGGTTGGGGGCCCTGAGGGTCCCTGTCACCCCCATGCAGAGGCCCCTGTGGAAAAAACTCACCCACCCCAGCTCCTGGGAGAGGGACATGGGCCCTCAGTCCTACCTCTTGTCCTGGTTACGCTTGGGCTCATGCCGCCAGGGCCACCATTACCAAGTCCTGCTCCATGCCCGCAACAGATCCACACGCTCCTTGTCCTTCGTCTCCTACCCTCCCACAGCCCTGGGCAACAGGGCTCAAGGGGTCAAGCCTGGAATGACTGGAGCCACTGTTCTCCTTTTATTTTTAATTTATTTCTTTTTTGAGACGGAGTCTCACTCTGTCGCCAGGCTGGAGTGCAGTGGCATGATCTCTGCTTACTGCAACCTCCACTTCCCGGGTTCAAGTGATTCTCCTGCCTCAGCTTCCCGAGTAGCTGGGATTACAGGCGCGCACCACCATACCTCGCTAATTTTTGTATTTTTAGTAGAGATGGGGTTTTGCCACGTTGGCCAGGCTGGTCTTGAACTCCTGACCTCAGGTGATCTGCCCACCTCAGCCTCCCACAGTGCTGGGATTTCAGGCATGAACCACCGTGTCCGGCCTGTTCCCCTTTTAGAGATGGGAACGAGGGGCGCATCCACATGTCCAGCATCCTCGAGGGGTCCGTGCAGGGCCCAGGCTGAGGCCCATCCATCCCTGGAACACCCTGCCTGCTCTCCCCAACCCCTCCACCGACGCTGTCCCTCCAGGGAGCCTTTCAGGTGGGGAACAAGCTCAGGAAGTCGTGCCCAGCTCTCAGGCCCGCCTTGCCTGACCTCCCCATCAGTGCCCGCCTGGGCCTGGGCCCAGAGCCACAGCGTGCACACCCTGGCTGGGCCCTCCCGGAGCCCGCCTGCTCCCCAGGCCGGGACCTTCTGAACCAACCAACCCTGCTGTCCTGCAGCCTCAGGTGTCACCCCTGGAGAGACCATCCCCGCTGTCCCATCACCGTCCTCAGTGCGTGTGCGACTTCCTGTCCACCTGTCTTGTGTTTGCTGCTGGTCCTCCCTCTGCGGGAGCTCCAGAGCCTAGAGCCGTGCCCTGTCCATGCTCGGGGCACGGGGGTTGCGGTGGAGGGCTGTCCGGCTGAGGCGGTGGCCCTGTGGGCTAAGGTCTCTCCTTGGCCAGGCAGGGGTGCTGGAAGGCGGTCCCCAACTTCCGTCCAGCTGCGTTCCTGCTGCAGCCACAGGTACAACTCCCCCCTCCCCCACCTCCCCGCCTCCCTCCCGCCCCGCAGAGCCCCAGGTGGACGGCTCAGCGCGTGCGGATGTCGCCCTCTGGCTGTAAGTGTCGGGATCACCGTCTCGGACAACTATGAAGTCAGGATGGCTGGGGGCTTTGAAGGGTGAAGACTTTGGTGCCTGGGCGTGCACAGAGCTGGAGGGACCGAGAAGTACTTTATCCAACTCGCTCATGCTACAGGCAGGGACGCTGAGGCCCCAGCCCCTGCTTGATTTGCTTCCAGCCCCAGGCCCCTCCCCAGGCTGATGGTGAGAATGGCTGTGCAGACAGCAGGAAGCACTGTGGTTAGATGTCAGCAGGACCTTTCTGGCTGGAGCCACCAGAGCCAGGCTTCTGGGAGGGCTCTGGCTTTGGGGAGGCTCAGGGCTTGGGCCCGGGACACAGATCGAGGGACCTCCAAAGCTCTGCCTTCCGCCAGAGGCAGATCCTCTGTGGGAAAAGGTGGGGTTTTCTTACAAGGCCAGCTGGGCTCTGGGCAGGGAGGCCTGTGGATCTCCTCGGCCCACAGCTGTGCCAGTGGGGAGTGTGGGTGCAGGGTCTTTGGTGTCAGCCTGAGCTGGTTCATGGCTCCTGAGGGTCCCTGACCCTTAGAAGCCCCTTCAGTCGAGGCTGCCCCCTGCCCTGATGGTGGGGGGCAGGTCCAGCGTGGTTTCCTCATTGTTCTCACAGCCGCCCTACCCTGGCACGTCCTTGTTTAGCTGTTGCCTCTAGGAAGGCGTCCCGAGAGCCTGGGCTCTGGCCCTGAAGCCAGGTGCTCTTGCACACTCGAGGAAATGACTTTGCCTTGTCAGGCAGCCTTGGCTGTATCCCTTCTCCCCAGCACTGGGCCTCACAGGCCTTTTATAAACCTGAAGCTCTGAAAAGAGAGGAGGCCTCTGCCATCTCCACTGACCCTTCCTTCTCCAGCTTTCTGACCACGTCACTCAGAGACGTCCTCGGCCCTTGGCCCTTTGTCTTGCCTATGGCCTTGGCCAACTTGGCAGGCGCCTTTGCCTCTCTGGGCCTCTGTTTTCTCATCTGTAAAGTGGGTTTACTGATCAAATCCTGGCCAAAGCAGGATTTGGTCAGCGCTGGCCTGCCTGCCCATCTTCTGGGCCACACTCCCCACCTGGCCTGCCTGTCCCCGCCTCTGCTGTCACTACCCTGGTCCTGGTCCTGGCCCCACCTTTGCTGTCCCCACCCCAGCTCTCTCTCCATCACCTGCCCACCGTCTTCTGGCCTACGTTCCCCACCCGGCCTGCCTCTGTCCCCACCCTGGCTTTCTCTCTATTACCTGCCCGCCGTCTTCTGGGCTACGCTCCCCACCCGGCCTGCCTCTGTCCTCATCCCTGCTGTCCCCACCCCAGCTCTGTCTCCATTACATCTGCCTCTTTTGTCCCCACATCCAGGCAGACCCAGGCACTACCAAGGTTTCTACCAAATCCCTGCCCGAGGTGCCCGATCATTCAGTAAAGCGAACACTCAGGGTTCCTGGGTGTGAACTGCAGCCCCGCCGTTCCCCAGTGTGCACCCCTCAGCCTCCATGTCCCCACCTGGGAAATGGGAGCAGTAATGCCTGCCCTGCGAGGCTGCTGAGTGCACACAGTGAGACCCACAATGCGGGCACACCGTGCTGAACTGTGTGGCTTCCCTCTCTCCCCTACCCAGTGACCACCTGCCTGGACATGTGAGTCCTCCCATTCCTGAGCCCCTGGGATGGGTCCTGCCCTCACCCCCCTGGCTCTCAGCGGGTTCTGGCCCTGCCAGTGTCTACGGGTGGCTCCAGGGTCTCCCCAGCAGGTTCCAAGGCTCTCTGAGCCCTGCACTGCAGCCCCCACCTCCCTCCCCTGCCCCCGCCCAGGCCTGGCCCATTCTGGGCACACTGGGACAGCCTCGGTGAGAAAGGGTCCCACGGAGCAGCCAGTCCCCTTCCTCCTCCCCAGGGAGGACACCGGCCCCAAGTCCCACAGAGAGTTTGCGGGGGGCCTGGCTGGAGCCTCTCTGCACCCCACGAATGCTGGTGGATCGGTTGGTTCTGACCCCCTTCCACTCCCTGTGGTTCTGAAATGTCACTGAAGTAATTCCTTGAAGAGTGTCACACAGCCCCGAAGGGGGACAAGTGGGGATGGGACCCCCAATCTGAGGCCTGGCGTCTCCCTTACCCCCACCCGTCTCCATCAGGGCCAGCCCTCCTATGAGGGGCCTGCCTCGTGGGTATCCAGAGCTAGCACAGAGGCTGGACCACCATTCCCAAGCCTCGTGGCAGCCCCCCAGGCAGGGACTTGCCGCAGCCCCCAGCAGGTAGAGGGCAGAGCCAGACCATGGCTTGCAGTCCCATGTGCCCCCCGGCCAAGGCCTTGACCCTCGGCCTGCAGCTGAGATGTGCCTGGGTCTGGAGGTGAAGGGTCAGGCCTGGCCAAGGCCTTCACATCCCCGAAGCAGAACCCGCACTCCCGTCCCACGGCCAGGCGGGCAGACCCCATGGCACTGCCCGGAGAACATGGTTCCCCAAGAGGAAGTGGGTCTTGGCTGAGGACCCCTCTCTCCTCCCGCCCTGGTCGGCCACCGCTGGCTTCAATGAAGGGGGGGGCGCCCTGAGGGGCGGTGCCCTGTGAGGAGGTGCCCTGCAGGGAGGTGCGGACCCCCTTCCACTCCCTGTGGGGGTTGCAGGGCCTTTGTGGGGAGCGGGCGGGGCTTCTGCTGCTGACTTCGTTCTGGTTTGAACACAGGTCCCTGTGGTGGTGCAGAGCCTGGGACCGCACCCCCTACTTTGCCTTGCCCTGGGGTCTGGGGAGGGCTGGTCTCCACATGGTCCTCCCAGCCTCCAGCACAGGACCTCATGCCAGGGTGCGGCCCGTGTCTCGCCAGGGAGGCTCGTGGAGCAGGAAAGAGGGCGAGAAAAGCCGGATGCGCCAGCTCGGGCACTGTGGACCAAGGGTGCTGGTCTGGGAACGTCAGGAGCAGGGCCTGGTCCCCAGGGAGGGGCAGTCGGGAGGTTGATCACTCTGCCACCTGCCCACGGGGCTCTCTGGCTGATGGAGGCCTCACCTGGCACTGGTGTCATGGCCTCTGCGCCCAGTCACAGGAGGCAGCAGGGCCGGCTGGGCCTGATTTTCCTGGTGGGGGCTGGACACTGACCAAGCCCATCGCAGGACAGACCTGTCTGCCCAGATCCGGGCGACGCGGCCCTCTGACCATTGTTCACTGTGTCCAGGTGTCCGGAGCTGTGGGGAGGCTGAGACGCCGCCCAGCCAGTCCCACACCCTGGCCCTGGCACAGCCACCTCCTGCCCTCATGAGAAACCCGGCTGAGGTCCTAGGCACTGCTCCCCAGTTCCGAGCCGGCTGCTCTGCTGGTACCCACCCCCTTAACCCCTGCCTGCCCATCTCTCTGCAGACGCAGACAGGTACGGCGTACCCCCTGCCTGCCTCCTTCACTGTTGGGTGGAACTCGGGGCGCCTG